ATCTTACTAAAAATACAAAAGTAAGTCGGGCATAGTGGCAGGTGCTTGTAATCCCAGCTACTCGGGAGGCTGGGGTGGGAGAATTGCTTGAACCCAGGAGGCAGAGGTCGCAGTGAGCTGAGATTGCGCCACTGTACTCTAGCCTGGGTGACAGAGCAAGACTCCATTAAAAAAAAAAAAAAAAAAATTCCAGCTGGGCACAGCGGCTCATGTCTGTAATCCCAGCACTTTGGGAGGGTGAGATGGGAGGATGGCTTGAGCCCGGGAGTTCCAGACCAGAAACATAGTGAGACCCCCGACTTTATTTAAAAAAAGTAAGAAAAAATAAAATATTCCACGGCTGTGTCAAACTGACCTGGGTTCAAGTCCTGGCTTAACCATGTCCCGGCTGTGGAAGTCTGGCAGTTTCCCTCCCTTCTGTGAGTCTCGGTTTTTTTCACCTGTAAAATGGGGAGAGCAGTGGTGCCTGCCACATGGGGTTGTGAGGATTAAATGAGGTAGCAGATAAGGACAGGATGGTTAACGACAGTGCTTGCGACCATGCCCGCCTGTACTTTTCTGTGCCGACACCGCAAGGACTCTTCATAAACCACATCCAGTCCTCACCATAGTCCTTTGAGGGAGGAACTTTGATCTGTTTCAGAAAGGACTCTGAGGATCAGAGAGGGCAGGCCCCTTGCCTAAGGCCACACAGCAGAGCCAAGGACTCAAACCCAGAATACTGTGATGTGAATTTCTGTGCTTTGACCATGGCCCAGGTTTCTGGATTAGGGCTTCTATGACAGCCCCACTCCAAGCGACCTTGGGTGGGCTCCTTTCCATCTCTGTGCCTCAGCTTGCTGGTTTGTAAATTGAGGGCCATCTTAGAAGACCCCCCTACTCTGATTCTGGCCCTTGCAGCCTCAAACAGGAAACCATTTTCTCCTCCTCCTCTCTCCACTCCAGAGCGTGGCTCAGAGGTCATGGAAGGTGACGGAGGCTGGCGCCCCCGCAGTCCTGCAAAGGCCAGCAGGGTCCAGTTACTTGTTTTGGTGGGGGTGGATAATGTCTGGGGGTCCTGATAGATGGACGGTCTGCTCCCGCCAGCGGGCGAAGGAGCATGCTGAGAATTCTGTTCCCCAGATCTCATTAAGCCCTGAGACTTAAATAACTGCTGACTGGTTCCCTGGGGAGGCTGAGGGGAGGGCTTCTGCCCTTGGTAGTCAGGGGGTCATAGGGCAGCACCCCAATGTGGAAGAAAATGGCTCCTTTTCTGTCCAGGTCGGGGCAGGTGAGCCCTGGCTCTGGGTCATACCCCCACCAAAAGCAGCAGGGGGCCCAGCCTGGGGTTAGGGCTCCTCAGCAGGCCAGAGGTGGAGGGGGGCTGTCGGGCACTCTGGCCCCAGGCCCCTCCGCCCCCTGCCACCTTCTGCCAGCTCTGTAGAAGGGAGTGCTTAATTACCCAGTCACTCTATCCCTGCTTGGCCAGGCAGCTAAGCCCAAACATCTGGCCCCAGGGCCCACGGCCAGAATGGGTGGCCAGCCTCCGCCCACTGCTGGCCCTGGCTCCGGACACCTCCCACGGGACAGCTGAGCTTGATCCTCTGCCTGCCAGCTTGCAACCAGCCCAGAACAGTAGCTGCATAGGCCCTGCAAGCTCAATCGATGCAGAAAAAACCACATTTGATGAAATTCAGCAGCCATTCACAGTACACACACACACACACACACACACACAGAGAACAAAGTTAGAGCAGAGAGGACTTCCTTCATCAGATAAGGGGTATGAAGGAAGACCTACCTGTTGTTATTATCATGGGCAACGGATATGGCCTCCTAGGGGCGTTGATATAGGAGGCCCGGAAGAACGCAGCAGATAAGTGGTTTGGTGAGTAAGAGTCTGGCCTGATGCTGGACCAGTTCTCTAAAGTCATGTTCTCACATTCCCTGCACCTCAAATGTGAACCGCAGACCTGCAGCATCAGCCTCACATGGAAGCTGTTTACAAATACGGAATCTCACACTTAGGAGTCACTATGCATGGAAGCTACAGCCTTACAGAATGTATTTCTTTTTTATTTTGAGATGGAGTTTCAATCTTGTTGCTCAGGCTGGAGTGCAATGGCACAATCTGGGCTCACTGCAACTTCCACCACCAGGGTTCAAGCAATTCTCCTGCCTCAGCCTCCCGAGTAGCTGGGATTATAGGCACACGCCACCACACCTGGCTAATTTTGTTTTTTTAGTAGAGATGGAGTTTCTCCATGTTGGTCAGGCTGGTCTCAAACTCCCGTCCTCAGGTGATCTGCCTGCCTCAGCCTCCCAGTGTTGAGATTACAGGCATGAGCCACTGCGCTCGGCCACAAAATTTATTTCTTAAATAATAATATTGAAAGCAAAAATTACTAAGGCCAGGTGTGGTGGCTCGTGCCTGTAATAATAGCACTTTGGGAGGCCAAGGCAGGTGGATCACCTGAGGTCAGGAGTTCAAGGCTAGCCTGGCCAACATGGTGAAACCCCGTCTCTACTAAAAATGCAAAAATTATCCCAGTGTGGTGGCAGGTGCCTGTAGTCCCAGCTACTTTGGAGGTTGGGGCAGAAGAATTGCTTGAACCCAGGAGGCGGAGGTTGTGATGAGCCAACATTGTACCACTGCACTCCAGCCTAGGTGACAAGAGCAAAATTCTGTCTCAAAAAAAAAAAAGAGAAGAAAGAAGAGGAGGAGGAGGAGGAGGAGAAGGAAGAAAGAAGATAAAAGAGAAGAAAAGAAAAAAAAAGAAAAGAAAAAAAGATAATACAAATGTTCCGTAAACTAGTTTCCCAGGCTGGTCTCAAACTCCTGGCCTCAGGCGCCATTCCCACCTCAGCCTCCTCATGGGATTTGAGGCATGAGCCACTGCGCCTGGCCCGTGCCTTTATACTCTTTCACACACGTACCTGCTCTCTAATACAGTGTCTTGGTCTCTCACACTAGTCTCACTCTCATGCCATCCTCACACATCTACACCCGTACTCAATCTGAAACATTTATGTTCACCCCCACAGACAGCTCACTCCCTCATGCTCACACACCTACACAGTCACCTGCCCATGCCCACCCCCACCCCCACCCTCACCCACACCCCCATGCCCCGAAGCCCCTCCTCCCGATGACCACACCAGGACATCCATGCAGGCTAGCAGCAGGTACCAAGGCCGGGAGCCCCGCTGGGTCCAACGACCAGCCTTGCCACCCCCCTCAGTGGGCACAGCAGGAACCTGGCTGCCCTGTGCATGAGATGGGCAGAGCCCAGGGACCCCCTCACCACCTTGGGGACAGGTCAGGAAGCAGATGTGGCCATCGAGCTGCCTGATTGGGGTCCAGACTCTGGCTAGCACTAAGTATTATTTAATTAGTGTCGTCCCTGCCAGCCTGTCAGGGTCAGGCCCATCCTGGGAATTTTCTGTCCTCCCGTAGGTTCCGCCCAAGACAGGCCGGGTCATTATCACCTTCCAGTTAATCCTCAGCTGCCATCAGCAATCAACACCCCCCCCCCCCCCGGCCCCCCCCCCCCCCCCCCCCCACCCCCCCCCCCCCCCCCCCCCCCGCACCGTGCCCCCTGCCCGGGCTCCACTCCCTCCCACCCAGCACGTGGCATCCCAGCCACCTCCAGATTTTTGGGACACATTCTTGGCCTAACAGCTTGGCTACTTGAGATTCACAGATAAAGGGGGGCAAGAGGCCTTGATATACCCACCTCCGTTGACTCCCTTCTTCTCTCCAATGATTCCTACTCCAGGAAGCTCACTCAGATCATCCAGGTCAGAGGCTCCAACACTTTGGCTTGAACCTGGATTCGAAGGCTCCTTGGGGTCCCTCCACAGGAGCACACCTGCTGTCAGCCCCGCTGTGGGCAACACCTCGGTGGCCTCAGCAGGGGCCCTGCGGGGTGTGCAGGGGCCAGCGAGTGCATGACACACGATCCAGCCCTGAGTTGTAGCCTTGCTCTGGGCCTGAGGCCAAGGAGGGCGAGGAGAGGAAGAGGGAGTGTTTGCAAAGAGGGCAGCTGCCAAGCAGGGCCGGGGAGAGAGGACAAAGGTGCGAAGGAGAGAGGCTCAGGCGCCCGCGTGACCTTCCCAGCCTGGCTGCACATCGACAGGCGTGTGCACACACACACGGGTCCGACGTCCACACACAGTGCGGCACATTCACCCCCATACACACAAGGACGTTGGCACACACAAGCTCACGTGCTCGTGGGCTCACAACAGGCACAAAGCTGTGTTATCGTCCACACGCGGCGAGGCTCAGGCTGCACCGCGCCATCATCCTCTTCCCTCCGTCTCTCTCTCCCTTCCTCTCTGTCTCTGTCCTTCTCTCTCTCCCCCATCTGTTTCTCTATCTCCATCTCTCCTTTTTCTGTCCCCTGTTTCTGTCTCTCTCCATCTCTCCCCACTGTGTCTGTCTCTCCACCTCTGCACCCCATCCTCCCTCCTTTACATGCACGTGCACTCACATACATGCACACACACTCATGCACACAGGCACACACACTCATGGACACATGCACACTCACTGGCGCACACACACATGCTCACACATGACATTCATACTTGCAAACACATGCACACACGCGTATAGTTCCTTGATGGAAGCTTTGAGGACTGTATTTTTCATTCCATTGTTAGCACACAACTTTGCTTTGGTAAAGGAAGGGATTCTTAGAAGCAAGTGGCTCACTCCCTCCTGCCCACAGCTCTGCCTCAGGACCCCTGTGGGAGGCTCAGGCAGCACCAGATCATCCTCGCCCCTCTGTCTCCTCTCTCTGTCTGCATCTCCACCTCTCTCCCTCTCTGTCTGTCTCTCTCCCTTTCTGTTTCTTTCTGTCATCCTCCATTTCTTTCTGTGTCTGTTTCTCTATCTCCATCTCTCCTTTTTCTCTCCTGCATGTTTCTCTATATGTGTATCTCTGTCTCTCTCCATCTCTCCCTGCTCTCTGTGTCTGTCTCTTCAGCTCTGCACCCCACCCTCCCACCTCTGCACACCCTCTGATGCACACCCCCCTTCTCGTTGCTGAGCAGACTTGCAGCAGCACTGGGATGGGAGTGCCAGATGGAGTTTATTTGCAGAGCCACTGGGGTGAGAGAAGGCAAGCACATCACAGAGGGTGGTGCCAGGTGGGAGGGAGACCCGGCTGGAGAGGAGGGAGAGGACGTCGGGAGGACAGGGACGGAGAGGAGGCCTTGCCACACCACACCGGCTCGTTTATTTCATAGACATTTCCCGACCCCTGCTGCAGGCCATCGCTGAGTACATGGGGTCCGTCAGCAAATGGGATGGGCAAAGCACAAAATAACCACAAAAACTAAGCCATGCAGTTAGAAGAGGACACACATCCTAGAGAAACAGTAGAGTGGGGGGATGGGGAGGCAGACTGTAATAATTTGGTACACACAGCTGATATCCCAGCACTGTGGGAGGCCGAGGCTGGAGAATTGCTTGAGACCAGGAGTTTGAGACTAGCCTGGGCAACATAGCAAGACCCCCATCTCTATTAAAAAAAAATTTTTTTAATTAGCTGAGCATGGTGCTGCAGCCCCTTAATCCCAGCTACTCAGGAGATGGAGGCAGAAGTATTGTTTGAGGTCAGGAATTTGAGACCCATCTGTGTCACACAGCAAGACTTCCCCCAACTCTAAAAAGTTTTAAAAATTAGCCGAGCCTGTAGTCCCGGCTACTCAGGAGGCTGAGGCTGGAGGATCGCTGGAGCTGTGGATTTTGAGGCTGCAGTGAGCTGAGATCAAGTCACTGCAGTCCAGCCTGGGAGAGCAAGACCCTGTCTCAAAAAAAATAAAAGTGCAGGGCGTGAGGGGATGAGCCCCGAGCAAACAGCAAGTGCAGAGGCCCTGGGGAAGGCGGTGGCAGGTACGGAGGGGCACGCGGAAGTCTGAGACCCCCCTGGGAAGGTGGCAGTAGGTACGGAGGGGCGCACAGAGGTCTGAGGCCCCCGTGGACCAAGGGAGGGATGCAGCCTGCAGAGAGGAGCTAGGAGGAGGACACCGAGGGGATCCCAAGCCCCAGGGATGAAAACACACAGAGGAGAAACTAACAGCCGCCAAGCGACAGCCTCGAGGCCTCGGGTGGGGCGGCTTCCCTCTCTGCCAGCCCCAGGCCCGCTCACTGCCGGGCCTCCTCTTCCACCTCTCCCACTTCTTCAGCCTCGCCCTCCCGCTGCCTCCAGGGGCGCCCCAGGTGCTCCCTGATGATGCTCACGGCGCTCCTCCTTCGGGGGTGAGGGTGCAGCAGCCCCCACAGAAGCGCATCGGCCGCGGGGGCCAGGCCGAACCAGGGCTGAGGACGGTCCTGCGGCTGGCCCGAGGCCTGCCAGATGAGGAAGTCCTCGTAGAAGGGGTCGGCCTCGGCCAGGGGCTGGTCCCAGGGGAAGTAGCCCGTGAGGAGGCAAAAGACCAGGACCCCCAGCGCCCAGGCGTCCAGGGCGGGCTGAATGGGCAGGCCCTCGGGGAGGGGCGGGGGCGCGCAGAGCTCGGGGGCCGTGTAGGGGATGGGCGGCCCGGCCAGGCGCAGCAGCGTCCCGCGAGGCCTAGTGTGGCCGAAGTCGGTCAGCTTGAAGCGCCGGCAGTCGGGGTCGCACACCAGCACGTTCTCCGGCTTCAGGTCCCGGTACACCAGGCCGCGCGCGTGGATGTACTCCAGGGCGGAGGCTAGCTGCGCGGCGCAGCGGTGCACTGCGGGCTGCGGGAGGCCCACCTGCGGGAGAGGGGCGGGGCCCGTGCCCCAGGACAGGAGTCGCCTGAGACTGAGGCCCACCTGCGGGAGAGGGGCGGGGCCCGTGCCCCAGGACACGGGAGGCGCCTGAGACTGAGGCCCACCTGCGGGAGAGGGGCGGGGCCCGTGCCCCAGGACAGGAGGCGCCTGAGACTGAGGCCCACCTGCGGGAGAGGGGCGGGGCCCGTGCTCCAGGACAGGAGGCGCCTGAGACTGAGGCCCACCTGCGGGAGAGGGGCGGGGCCCGTGCCCCAGGACACAGGAGGCGTCTGACTGGGCTGCGGGATTCCCATCTGCTGGGAGAGGGGCGGGCCCAGTGCCTGGAGGCCCTTGGAGGCAACCGAGACCACAGGGCGGGTCCTGCGCCAGGGAAGCAGGCCGGGACACTAAGGAGGCCGTTAAGGAAGGCTGTGAACTGTTGGCCCCACGAGGCCAAGTATGATCTGTGAGGCCTGTGGGTTTAGGGTGCCTAGGGTGACCCCGTGAGGCCTACTGTGACCTCATGGAGCCTGTGGGTTTAGTGGGGCCTAAGGTGACCTATGAGTCCTGTGAGTTTATTGGGGCCTAGTGTGACCCCCATGAGACCTGTGGGTTTAGTGAGCCTGGGGTGACCCCATAGGGCCTGTGACTTGATTGGGGTCCATTGTGACCTGATGCTGCCTGGTGCGTCTCCATAGTGTCTCATGTGGATTCTGTGATGTCTATGAACAAAGAGGCCTAACAACTCGGCGAGTCCTGTGGGCCCACGAGGGGCCTCCTAGGGGTGGGTAGGGGAGGCGGTGGGGGGGGTTCGCGGGGTAGGGGAGGCCAGGTGGGTAGGAGAGGCCAGGGGAGGCCCAACACAGTGTCTGTTTCCTGCGGCCGTTCCTGGGAGGCGTGCTTGGGGTCTGCCTACGCACCTTGGGCTGGATGAAGGCCATGAGGTCCCCGTGCAGGACGGGCTCCGTCAGGAAGCTGTAGGAGTGTGCCGACTCGATGCCAATGCCGTAGGCTGTCACGATGGCCGAGTGCACGCCCAGCGAGAGGCCCACGCAGAACTCATACAGGAAGCCGCGGAGGGACGTCCGGGGTTTGGGAAGCTGCTTCAGTGCCAGGGGCGTGCCTGGGGCAGCAGGGAAAGTGTGAGAGGTGTGCAGGATCCAAGGGCCACCTGGGCCAGCTGCCCTGTTCCCCTGTGGTCCCCCTTGATGGTCCCTCGGCTTGGACTCTTTCCCGTAGGCCAGCTCTACTCTCTCCAATTCCCACCTCCCTCCTGAGCCTGCCCTAACAGCGTGACCACCCAAGCATCACTGGTGGTGCCAATAGTTACAGCATGTTGTGGCCCAGCTGGTGGCTTGGGCCTGAGATCCCAATGCTTTCAGAGGCTGAGACGGGAGGATCCCACGAGGACGGGAGTTTGAGACCAGCCCAAGTAGCACAGTGAGACCCCATCTCTAAAAAAAGTTTTAAAAAGCCGGGCACTGTGGCTGAGGCCTGTAATCCCAGCACTTTGGGAGGCTGAGGCCAGTGGATTGCTTGAGGTCAGGAGTTTGAGACCAGCCTGGCCTACATGGTGTAAACCTGTTCTCTACTAAAAATAGAAAAAACTAGCCAGACGTGGTGGTGGGCACCTGTAATCCCAGTTACTTTGGGAGGCTGAGGCAGGAAAATTGCTTGAACCCAGGAGGTGGAGGTTGCAGTGAGCCGAGATCATGCCACTGCACTCCAGCCTGGGGGACAGAATTTTAAAAATATATTTAAAAAAAAATTAGCTGGTCGTGGTGGCATCTCTTTAAAAAATAAAATAAATAATAACAGTACTTGGTGAATTTCTACACTGCTTTCTTACCAGCGCATAACCTTGGAGATGGAAGAATACAATGAAATTTCTCCAGTGACCTTGGTTGGCTTCTCATGACAGCAAACTGGTGTTTGAGGCAAAAAAGTATTTCTGAGACATCTGGGGAAAAGGTAACCCACACTGGGTAAAAAAGCCAATTAAGGGATTGTGGATTTTGTCACCTGTGGAAACGACTTCCTAGAAGCTAAACTCCCTGAAGACAGAACTTCTGATGTCTTCCTTTTTTTTTTTTTTTTTAGATGCAGTTTCACTCTTGTCACCCAGGCTGAAGTGCAGTGTCAAGATTTTGGCTCACTGCTACCTCTGCCTCCCGGATTCAATTGATTCTCCTGCCTCAGCCTCTGGAGCAGCTGGGATTACAGGCACCCGCCACCAAACCTGGCTAATTTCTTGTATTTTTAGAAGAGATGGGCTCTTATCATGTTGGTCAGGCTGGTCCTGAACTCCTGGCCCCAGATGATCCACCCATCTCCCAAAGCACTGGCATTGGAGCCATCATGCCCCCTTGCTTGCTTGCTTGCTTTTTCTCTCTCTCTCTCACATTCTTTCTTTCTTTCTCCTTCCTTCCTTCCTTCTTTCTTTCTTTCGAGAAAGGGTCTCTTTCTGTCACCCAGGCTGGAGTGCAGCGGCACAATCATGGGTCACTGCAACCTCCGCCTCCCAGGCTCAATCAATTCTGCTGCCTCAGCCTCCTGAGTAGCTGGGACTACAGGCATGCACCACCACACTGGGCCAATTGCACACCCAGCTAATTTCTTTTTCTGGCATCAGAAATTCCTGCTAATTGGCTAATTTAAAGAAAATTTTTGCAGACAGTCTCGCTATGTTGCCCAGGCTGCTCTCAAACTCCTAGGCTCAAGCAATCCTCCTGCCCTGGCCTCCCAAAGTGCTGCAATTACAGGTGTAAGCCACCACGCCCACCTTGATTTCTTTGATTTCTGAACCATCAGCTTCCAGGCTGCAACCTTGCCCATCACGAGGCCATGTGTGACTGGGCTAAATTCCCTCCTTATCTGCCAGGTGCAGTGGCTCACGCCTGTAATCCCAGCACTTTGGGAGGCTGAGGCAGGTGGATCAGGAAGTCAGAAGATCGAGACCATCCTAACACAGTGAAACTCGTCTCTGCTAAAAATACAAAAAATTAGCTGGGTGTGGTGGCATGCACCTGTAGTCCCAGCTACTCAGAAGGCTGAGGTAAGAGAATCACTTGAACCCAGGAGATGGAGGTTGCAGTGAGTCAAGATTGCACCACTGCATTCACTCCAGCCTGGGTGACTCTGTCTCAAAAAAAAAAAAAAAAAAAAAAAAGCCCTCCTTACTAAAAACACCGGCCGTCCCTGCCCACTCCCCAGCCAGATGCAGTGGGTCCTCTTCTGTGTGTTTGTAGTGCTCCCATCAGTGCTGCGAAGGCCACGCCACTGGTGTCAGTGATCCCCACCCATCTGTGCTCCCCACGTGCCCTGAGCTTCTCAACGACAGTGACATGCTCAGGGCCCCAGCATCATGCAGGCTGGGGACAGGTGTGCTGGAGGCCTCGAGGTGCATGTTCAGGACATGCCCATGGGGGGTCCTCATTGACAACACCCCGGCTCTGTGACTGCTCATGCCTCCGGCTCTGTGAGCACCCAGGGCTGGATCTCTGTGTGTGGTGTGCTGCTGTGTGACTGTGCTATGCTGTCTGTGTTATAACTGAGTTGTGTCTCCCCAAAACTCGTATGTTGGAGTCCTAACCCTCCATCCTGCTGAATGTGCCTGTGTTTGAAGATAGGGTGTTTAAAGAGGTAAAATGAGGTCACTAGAGTGGGTGGGCCTCATCCAGTGTGACTAGTGTCCTTACAAGAAGAGGACATCAGGACACAGACACGCACAGAGGGATGACCACATGAGGACACAGGGAGAAGATGGCCAAGTGCAAGCCACAGAGAGAGGCCTCAGGAGAACCAACCCTGCTGACACCTTGATCTCAGGCTTAAAGCCTCCAGGGCTGTGAGAAAATAGACCTCTGCTGTTGGCCAGGCACAGTAGTTCATGCCTGTAATCCCAGCACTTTGGGAGGCCGGGGCAGGAGGACCACTTGGGGCCAGTTTGAGACCAGCCTGGGCATCACAGTGAGACCCCACCTTTAAAAAAAAATTAAAAAATTAACTGGACATGATGGCATGCACCTTTAGTCTCAGCTACTTGTGGGGCTGAGGTGGGAGGATCCCTTGAGCCCAGGAGGTCAAAGCTATAGTGAGCTATGATTGCACCACTGCATCCCAGCCTGGACAACAGAGTCTCAAAAAAAAAAAAAAAAAAAAGAAAGAAAGAAAGAAAAAAGGCCAGGCACGGTGGCTCATGCCTGTAATCCCAGGACTTTGAGAGGTCGAGGCAGGGGGATCACTTGAAGTCAGGAGTTTGAGACCAGCCTGGTCAACCTGGTGAAACCTCGTCTCTACTAAAAACACAAAAATTGCCGGGCACGGTGGCTCAAGCCTGTAATCCCAGCACTTTGGGAGGCCGAGGCGGGTGGATCACGAGGTCAAGAGATCGAGACCATCCTGGTCAACATGGTGAAACCCCGTCTCTACTACAAATACAAAACATTAGCTGGGTATGGTGGCGCGTGCCTGTAATCCCAGCTACTCAGGAGGTTGAGGCAGGAGAATTGCTTGAGCCCAGGAGGTCAAAGCTATAGTGAGCTATGATTGCACCACTGCATCCCAGCCTGGACAACAGAGTCTCAAAAAAAAAAAAAAAAAAAAAAAAAAAGAAATGAAAAACCCCGCCTTTGTTATGGCAGCCTCAGCAGATGAATGCATGCTCTTTCTGCATTCGCGCTAGGAGATTCTTGAAGGCAGGAACTGGCTGTGATTCAGTTCTGGGTCCTTGCCCACTCAACCCCCGAGCACAGGGCTGGGCTCAGAAGGTGCGCCCTGAACCGACTGACCTCAGCTTTCCTCCATGTTTCCTGTTTCATGGAAGGATGCAGGCTGTGTATGTGCTTGGCATAAAGGTCCAGGGAGTAAGGAGCTGTCCTGCACACCCACTGTGTGCCGGCCTTGCTAAGTGCTTAGCAGACAGCATCACTGTGCATCATCCCACAGTGACCACTACAGCCACCACATGAGGCTCATGAGCCGGGAGCTCTGTCTTACCAGCATTGTCCCCAGCAACCAGAGCAATCCACATGCACTCAGAGGATCAACCATTCTTCCAACAGAAATCGTTACCCACGTTTTTCAAAGGAGGAAGCTGAGGCTCAGAGAGGTCAAGGGAATTCTTCAAAACACACAGCTTTTGGCAGGGCACTGTGGCTCACGCCTATAATCACAATTGCAATTTGGGAGGCTGAGGCAGGCAGATCACTGGAGGCCAGGAGTATGAGACCACCCTGACCAATACAGCAAAACCCTATCTCTACTAAAAAAGAAAAATATACACACACAAAACTTTAGCTCGGTGTGGTAGTGCACACCTATAGTCCTAGCTACCTGGGAGGCTGAGGCCGGAGGCTCACCTGAACCTGGGAGGTGGAAGTTGCAGTGCCAAAGAAACAAAAACAAAAAACACAAAGCTTTGGAGGGTGGAGGTAAGACTCGATTCTGGTCTACCAGCCTCCACAGCCTGGGCCATCGCAGGCCTGTGCCCTGCCCCCAACCGAACACTGCCACCTCATGCCCCACCACCCAGTACCTTTCTGACGATGGGTGACCAGAAGGACTCGGCCGTAGCGACCCTGGCCCAGGGGACGCACCTCCTCGTAGAGCTCGTCCACCTCGGCCCGGACCAGGGTCTGAGCACTCAGCGTCATCATGTCCTCCAGAGCCAGAGCAGCCTCCTTGCCCTGCTGGAGTTCCTCCACAGTCAGACCGCCCAGGCCCTCCTCCTCGCCATCCTCTGAAGTCCTCACCTCCACCGGCCCTTCCTCAGATTGTTTGCCGGGCATTTCTGCAAGGACAGAGGGGCGCCCAGGCTCAGGCCCCAGACCCAAGGGAGGAGGAGACTGGGGATCTGGACTCCTGGGTCTGAGGGAGGAGGGGCTAGGGGGTCTGGACTCCTGGGTCTGAGGGAGGAGGGGCTGGGGTCTGGACTCCTGGGTCTGAGGGAGGAGGGGCTGGGGTCTGGACTCTTGGGTCTGAGGGAGGAGGGGCTGGGGTCTGGACTCCCGGGTCTGAGGGGGAGGGGCTGGGGTCTGGACTCCTGGGTCTGAGGGAGGAGGGACTGGGGGTCTGGACTCCCGGGTCTGAGGAGGAGGGGCTGGGGGCTCATTGCCCTTCTCATTGTGACTCAGTCTCCCTCTTGGTGAGAGGCGGGGAGACCAGTCTGTGCTGTGAGATGAGTTCAAGCCCCAGTTCACAGATGTCCCTGCCCCCACATCCCTGCCCCGCCACCCTGAGGTTGAAAGATGAACCAGATAACCGAGACTCCCCCCATCTTGTTTCCAAAGCAAACAGACTTGGGCCCTGGGGGTGGATGAGTAGCCTCTGTCTCCTGAGAACAAACAGGTGCTCTGGGCCCAGGGCTGGGAGGGCGGGGCTGCGCAGAGCGCCTGGGACGCCTGGGTCCTGCATGGGGCCGAGCACTTGGGATCAGCCCCCAAGCTCTGGACAGGCCTGGGGTCCCACTTTCCCAGCCCAGCCGCCACCTCAGACCTGGACCCCCAGCCTCTCCTCTGCCAGACCCATGGGTCCAGGCCCCAGCCCACCCCTCTCCCAGAACCTTATACAACTCACACAATAGGGGACCCCCAGATTCTGCTTCCCTCACCCTCAACCATGCCACAGCCTCCAGGTGCAGCCTGGGCACCCCTGAGGGACCAAGGACGCGGGCCACCTGGCACAGTCACCCTCAGGTGCCACCCACCTCAGGCCAGGGTGCTCTGCCCGCCTCCAGACCTGGGCTCAGCCCTTCAGACCTCACCTCCTCCAAGGCCTGCCTGACCCTCTGGTGCCGGCTGTGGTCATTGCCCGGCACTTAGGGCCCATGCCAGCAGAGGCCTGCCCAGGAGCAAGACCCGCCCCCACCTTGGGGGTCGTAAGGCCCCGCCCCCAGGCCCGCCCCTTCTGCCCCCACTGGGAGCAGAGCGACATCGTGCGATGACTCCTGGAACTGGCTGTGGTCAGGCGGATACCCTGACCCAAGAACTCAGCCCTCCCTCAGACCCAGGAGTCCATGCCCCAGCCCTCCTTCCTCAGACCCAGAGTCCAGGCCCCAGTCCCTCCTCCCTCAGATCCAGGAGTCCAGGCCCCAGCCCTTCTCCCTCAGACCCAGAGTCCAGTCCCCAGCCCCTCCTCCCTCAGACCCAGGAGTCCAGACCCCCAGTCCTCCTCCCTCAGACCCAGGAGTCCAGACCCCCAG